TGTATAATTAAATGTTATACTACATTTTAAGATTAGCTTGTGATAATAATTTAAAAAAGGTTGTCAATTCTGCTATTTTGTGCCGTTGATTTGAGACAGAATCATTAACACAAAAATGATTCGGAGGTTTAATGTACAAAATTTGTGATTTTTACTGCCTTTTGACTTTTGTTCAATCAGAAAATAGTAGGCAAAGCGTAAACAATAAGATATAATTTAACCCATTATAAACAATTTAAGTTCTGAGAATGAAATTATCTTCTTTATTAATATTTTCGTAGCAGAGATATTACCATTCATTGTTTTCATTGAGGATTTCACTGTAAACTCTCTCTTTTCGCTAGGATATTTATGCTTGTTCTTTACGTGTGTCGTTGTAAATGATCTTTTCGAGTGAATCTTTTATGGCATTCATCACATTCGAATGATTGTCGTTCGTTCGTTCGTTCGTTCGTATGCGTCCGTTTGTGTCTTTCCAAATTGCAGAAAACCGTTCTGTCCTTAACTACAATGAAAAATTTAATTTCTACACTGAGAGTAATGTCATATTCACATACCGTTATCTGTGCCACGGACAGCGGTAGCATACATACTACCAAAAAATATGATAGCAGCATAATCGAAAACAATTTTCACGGTCCTAGAAATTCTCTAAAATCCTGTAAAATATTTTTGTAAAATCCTGTGAAATATTTTCGTGAAATATTGCCTGAAATATGTAAATTAAAATTGTTACAATAGAGCCAATGAACCTAATGAACAATCATATTAACAGAGAGGACCGTTTTCATACATTCCGTACGATCCGTGATCAAACACAAAATCACAGAACATTAATCTTTTGCACTGTAAAATTCTTTATTTGTTACATTGAGAAACCATAGTTTGATAAATACGATTATAACCAACTGGATATTTTAAAATTATCACCAACTCTTTTTAATTCGGAATAAAAATCATCGGAAGAGTATATTACAATCATTCAACATGTACTTTCATTATCAAAAATAGATGGAGTATTTTTTTTGTCGGAAAATTATCAAAATTTACATGACATTTGAAAGCCTTTTTAAAGGAGAATTGGAAATAAAATTTAAAATTTTTGCTAAAATTTTGCTAAAATAGTCTCTAGCTTAACTGCATTTATATATGGTTTAATTCAAAATTTATAACAGGATGACCTTCATGATGACAGGTATAGCAATACGTGATCTACATGACTTATGGCAGGGAATTCTTCTTACGAAGTTTTTCGTCAGAGAGAAAAAACACTTTGTCCAACGAATTCTCAAAATGATATGACAATTGCCGAGTTTTTTAAACGTTTGTTGATTGAATTCGTAACAACTACAAATCTCACGTCTCCGACAATTGCTCCTAAAGTTGATTTTATTAATAATTTCCAAAAGATTGGCACTAGCGCATAAAAAACAGCCCCATTATTTTCTTTTCAAAACGCTAACGTATCTTACTTTTATTTGGAGGTCAAAGCTTAACAGGAAACATTATTTCATTGCATATGACCTAAAATCACAAATGTCCTAACGTTGTCAGAGAATCGGACGCCTATTAGCTATTCATCTTTTATCATTAATTCTATCAGATCTCTTTGAAAATGACTCCTCAAAATGGAATTTGTCGAAGTTACGGTGCTGTCACGGATGAATATAAGTGTAACGTACACTCTACTACGATTTTGTCATTTTTTACGAACCCCCATATTAACTTGATATTCTATATATTCTTAAGCTTACACCTTGAGCTTCAGTCCACAGAACGTCCATTACCACCGCCATCTCCAAAGTGTCTGTACATTACTATCTTTTGCCTTCAAAAAATCTGCATTTTCATGAACAAGTTTCAAATCATCTTTATTATCCAACATCGATCATTATATACTATTTAAAGCGTAAGATTGATGTCACATGATGGGTGGAATCATTCGTAAGCCAAAACAAATGACTTGCCACACCAAGACTAAATACACAAGGATCACGCGACCAATTTAGGTTATCATGATTCACACATTTGTGGCCCTAAAGAGGGCCGTTGGGTTCCGTGTGCGCAAAGAGAAATAGCTGATGGATTGCGTTTGGCTATTTTAACCGCCAAAACCATACAGCGTACGACCTTGACGCTTAAGAGCATAGACAACATCCATTGCCGTAACCGTCTTTCGTTTTGCATGTTCGCAATAAGTGACAGCATCACGTATAACATTCTCCAAGAACACTTTCAACACGCCACGCGTCTCCTCATAAATTAGTCCCGAAATACGCTTCACGCCACCACGTCGTGCCAAACGTCGAATAGCGGGCTTTGTTATTCCTTGGATGTTGTCGCGTAGAACTTTGCGATGGCGCTTTGCACCACCCTTTCCAAGTCCTTTGCCTCCTTTACCACGTCCAGACATTTTCTCACTTAGTAATTAACGTAGAGCACCGTCAATCGTCTGCACACAATGCGAATTGAATTGGGTTCACTGTGGATTGCATGGCCTATTTATAGCCATCGTTCCCGCGACCTCACCGGGGCACCACTGAAACCACGCCTATATCGGCGCGAAAATCTCAAACCACGCCCCAATACTTTTTGGAAGGAAAGTCAACGTTGTATATGTGATAGTGGAAATGAGATATTATGAGATATCTCGAAATGGGATTATAACAACATTCAGTGTCAACGAATACAAAAAATAAGGTGTGCATAGTATGTAGAGGAGATATAAATATAGAACAAATTGAAAGTCTGAACAATCACCGATATGAAGGAAATATATTGTCGAGACATCCCGAATGTTCACTAACAAGGATGTAAAAACGAGATTCTAAGATGTGCATAGCATATTTCATAGATCAATATCTATCAGAAGAAGCTTCCATTTCATCCTGCCAATTTCATGGAAAGCAATATGTGGAAGAGAAAAATCTCGGATAGTAGTGGTATATTGAAACTTAATAGTGTAGAGAGAATTAATGGAGAAATTCAGGGAATTTAATAAAACAAAGGAAAGACTATTAGCATTTTTCCTCTGCTTGCTATAAGGTGAAATGAGTAATTCTATCGCAGGAATTAAATGATCAGAATGAAACTTCATTATTTAATTACTTATCCACTTACTTATATTGATTAATTTCGTTTTTATTAACAATAAAAAATGAGTTCCATCAAAACCATTATTAACCGGTAACTTTAAATTTTAGGTAATATAACTTATTCCATGGGATAGCTGATAGACTAGGTGAAGTAATAATTATTGGTAATACTAAAAATATAGAAAGTTATGCGTATGATTGGATTCCTCATCAATTCCTGATGAAATGTCCTTATTGATAATAATCATGTCATAAACAAAATCCACATCCTATACATAAAACATTGCGCATTGATTTTCCATCCTTTTATATATGCAAAATTTCATCCATTGCTTGCAATTTTCAAGTAAACAGAGTTAGCAGTTTCTTATCCACTCTATTTTTTTTCATTACAAATCAATTATTTGAAGTTATACTAATAAGCAAATGAAAGCATGGGACAAATGCAATCAGGAGAATTAAATGAGTTGAATACATTACACGAAGAGTTAGCATTTGTTCCTCAATCTCCTCATGCTGCTTCTTTTTTTATCTAATTTCCAATGTCATTAAACAGATCACTGATCAATCCAACTCTGACCAGATCAAATCAGATGTTTATGTAACCCGCACAAATTTGGAGTAGAATAGTCTTCCATTCTAACGATTATTTCAAACATTCAACCACTTCTCTCTAGAAGAAACTCATTTCGCTCGCAATTGGCAGCCGCCTATTGAAATAATTTCAACTCACCCCTCACAAACACTCGTTGCTAGGAATAATCAATTGCCAGCGATCAAAGATCGACATTGTAGCTGCGGTGTAAACATGTAGTGCCAATCTTTTTTTGAAAGGT